CGGAGTAGGTTATTGACGTCTAGACGATATAGCCAATGAAGATATATAACGTCTGCCCTTGATCACGTGGAAGTAGTAGCGAAGGGCTACGATACATCTATTTTTCTAAACTAAATGGCATCATGAACTTCACTGGTATCTTTCACATCTATTACTACCCAATTGAGCGAATGACGTATAGGAAAACGTCTCACCTGCTCCCACTTCTCCAAAAACAGCTATGCGCCATATTTAGTAAATTAGAACTATCAATATTGATAGGGCCTAATGATTTGATTTTCCACTGTGTAAAGCATACGTTCTGTGAAAACATTTCATAATCTTTTTTATACGTATATGAGCAGCATGGGCCGGCGTTGCCCGTGCTTGATTCAAAATCGTACGGCTCATACAGCAATCGCTATCACTTGACTTAAAATATTTTTTTTTCCTTTTAAAAAGATATGCCTTTTAATGGAGTGCCCTTTGCCTATCTGCTGCGAATTTTTTCTAAGCTCTATACTAAACATTAAATCTGTTACGAAAAAAAACTAAACAAAATGAACACAAAACGATCAGCTTTAAAAAAAAACTCATAACTGGAAAAACCGAATGAAAAAAGAATGTTAACAACAAATATTTTTCACACATCAACCCAGTTCTGCGGAATCAGAATCAACGTTGAGTTTAAGCAAGCGAATGAGCCAATTGGAGTAAAGTGCCATGCAGATTTAAATTTTTCCCACTTGTGACGAATGCAGCTATCGATTTTTTTTTGCATGCTATTATGCTAGTTAACATTCGTGTCAGTCAGCTGTTGGCTTTCACGCTGGCCAATAGAATCTTCCTGCCTATTCGTGGCAGCCATCTATAGGCTCTCACTCTGGCCAGTAGAAAATGGCCGCAAATTACATGAAAACTGCCGTAGAAGCTTGAAAAAATCGATTTATTCCACTATCGATGGAAGTTGGGAAATGCAAAGTCGGTGTTGGCCTTCTCACTAACTTGGAGCATGTGCATGTAAATTTTGGTGCAAATCCGTCAAAAATTGCGGCCGTGCATTCGTTACACACACACACACACATCCTGCCTTTTATAGATAGAGATTTAATTTTGAAACCTAAAATTCTCAAATAAAAATAAAAGCCATTAGGTATGGAACTTTTCCTACGATACTGACATTCCGGTCTTGCTAATAACGAAGACGGTCGAAAATAATGGCAGGGAAACGGAGAAATTTGGCCAGTTTATCAATATTTAGATTAGGACCGAAAGTATCCGAGGTAAACACGCAGTTGACGAAGTTGTGAACAGCTTATTCCAAATTTTAATTCGCATGTTAGAAAATTTGGGAAAATGCTCTAAACTGAAGGTCAAAGTTGAAAGACAAGCCATGTATCTTGAATTTGACAGACCTTGTTTAAATGAATTACAGGTGCTGAAATATATATACTTTATAATAACACAATAATATATACCATCCCTTGGCGAACTGAACCTTTATCCACTGTGCCATGTGTCCTCAAAGACAGAGTGGATAAAGGCGTTGGTTAGATCCAGTGACAAGTCCCAAAGAGTATGAGTTCAATACCCGGTTAAGGCGGTGGAGAACTTGAAGAGGGAAATTAACAGGAGATAACTGATAACTGACATCCATTAAACATGGCACATGGAACTAGAACAGTCTACCCTAGTGAGAGAAATAAAGGGTTCAGTTCGACATTACAACCACCTGAAGAAGGCCGGAGCGTACAACGGCCGAAACGTTGTAAGAAATATGGCGACAAAGATGAGGACAATAGTCCTAATAATGTAAATAGATTACTCCTTCTATTCTATTTCTTTATTTTGTAGTTATTTTTATTTCTATAAATATATATTTTAATTATTAATTAGTCTTATATTTATATATATATTTGTTATATATTTATATTATTATCTTTATATCCATAAATATTAATTATCATTTTTTATATTTTTTTATAATTAGTTCTTACAATTTTATTTTTTTATAATTATTTATTTATATAAATTTACCCCACCTTTGTTTCGCTAAACACGCAAGACGTTACAGAGGGGGGGATCAAGAGATAACAGACGTGATAGAGGAAAGGATGAAGAGAAGGATATGGCATAGATCAATGCATCTGGAGATGTCAGTTGACATTGCATTTGAATATTTGAAGATTATAGCTATCAGGAAAGCAAGTAAGAGGAAGGGAGTTTCACAGACGGGAAGTGCGAGACATGAAGATGTTGGAGTAGAAGAGACGGCTGCAATTAACTGTTTCGACAGTAAAAGGGTGGGACTGAGATGCCGACCTACTAGCACGTTTAAATTCATGCACCTTTGGAACTAGCGAAAATAGCTAGTCGGAGAAGTTACTATGAAAGTATTTGTAGAAAAGACACGGGGAGGTGACGGGACGTCTGTGAAAGAAGGACTGTAAACGAGATGCCAGATCAGAGCCAACCGCATTGCATTTCTATATCTGGATTTGTTCAAGTACCTTATGACGAACAGCGGGAACTCCAGACTATATATGACAGAAGTATTCCATGCAAGGACGAATGGTTGATGTATAGATTTTATTTTTGACTCAGGCTGGAAAAACTTTCTGGCCCGATACAGAGAACCAACAGATTTTATATATATATATATATATATATATATATATATATATATATATATATATATATAATTCTTTTTACGGCAAAGGGCAATCTTTAAAAAGGCAAGGAAGGGCAAAAATATTTTAAGTCAAGGATAATAGATTGCTGTTAATGAGCTGTACGATTTTTTTCTCAAGCACGGGCAACGCCGGCCCATGGTGCTAGTATACGTATAAAAAGATTTGTGAAATAATATTTTACAGAACGTATGCTTTACACAGTGGAAAATCAAATCATTAGGCCCTATCAATAATGATAGTTCTAATTTACTAAATATGGCATAGCTATATATATATATATATATATATATATATATATATATATATATATATATATATGAATGATAAAATATAATCTGAGGATATATTTTATATTTATGTGTTAAATTTCTCAATAACAAGGGGAGAAATATATATATATATATATATATATATATATATATATATATATATATATATATATGCACACACACACAAAAAATGTGAACAAATCAGATATAAATTCAAAGGTTCATAACATTAATTTAAAATAGAGCTCCATACAAAAATAGAGCGATAATTCTTTGTTCTAAAAGTTATTACATTCAGACATACATATTTCCGTTACAAATGAATCATTAATGTTTCATGCATCAATAGCATATCATCAGGCGTGGCAAAATAAGAACTGCCATTTTTTTGTCGCCTGATGAGAAGGTATGATATGCATCGAAACATTAATGCATGTCTCTAATTCTGTTGCGGAAATATGTATGTTCGAATGTAATAACCTATAATAAATATATATATATATATATATATATATATATATATATATATATATATATGTGTGTGTGTATGTATGTATGTATGTATGTATGTACGTGAGAAGAGGCATTATAATTATTTAGAAACGTCGTGAATATGGCAAACGAAGAAGAGCACAACAGTCCGAGCAATGTAAATATTGTAAATTTATATATATATATATATATATATATATATATACAATTTTCTTGTATTTATGATGGGATTAAGATTTCAATATAATGAGATCTTTCTTTCGTTTGTTTTTATTTGGTTTTTGAAAGATTTCTAATTTTTCTCTGATCATATTCTTTATCAAAATACGTTTTCCAATTTCTAATTCAGATTCGCTTCTTCATGTCTCAGCTCCTGAGTTTTTTGCATTGTTTTTTTCTCAGTATTTATATATATATATATATATATATATATATATATATATATATATATATATATATATATATATATATTTTCCATGTCTTTTTTTTTTTACTTTTCTATTGAAAATTAATACTTCCTGTGTTTCCATTCCACAATCTGATTTTATTTTCTTATCATCTGTTCATTTTTAATATTTCTTTTTTGGGGGCGGGGTTGGGGCGGAGTTCATCACATGTACGCGATTTTTTTTTAATTTCTCATTCTTTTATCGGAGTTAATTCCAACGATCTTTCTACTTGTCAGTAGTTCGTTTTTTTTTTGTTCTTTTGGTTTTTTTCCTCTACAAAGAATTCTTTTCTTTTCTTTTTTTTTTTTTAACTCTTTCGCCGCCCCTGATTCTTTTATTTTATTTTGTATCTTTTATCTCCAGAATCGCAGAAAAAAGAATTTCTTTATTCTCTTCCGGTGTCTTCTTTCGTCAAACTTCCGATAGTTTTACAGCCTACATTCCATTCTCACTTGGGTTAATGATACAGAATAATATTATTTCGTTCTGGCATATATATATATGACCTTCCTTGTACTTGAAATTACTACATCGATTCCACCAAGGTGTTGTTGAAATATTATCGGCGCGCAAAGCCCGGTTCGAATTAAAGCCGAGTCTTCGTTTACTTTTTTTAATCGAAGTCACCCAAGTCAAGTCAATAAAGCCACTAACACACAAAGGGTTACTGGTTATGGAAGAATTAAAAAACAGAAACATTACTTAGAAGCGAGAATAATCGAAGAGATTATTCAGCAAGAGTATTGATAATGATTGACAATGCATTTAAATTATTGACGATGAATCTTAATTGGAAAACATGGAGACGGGAGAGTATTCCACAAGCGACAATGTGAAGAACATAAACTGTTAGCCTCGAACATCGGATTGACATTACATTTAAATTTTTGAAGACCAATGTTAATTGAAAAACATGAAACCAGGAGCGTGTTCCACCAGGGAGAAATTCGAGAAAATAAACTGTTAACATAGAACATCGGATTGACATTGCATTTAAATTTTTGAAGATCAATATTAATTGGAAAACATGGAACTAGGAGAGTGTTCCACCAGGGAGAATTTCGAGAAAATAAACTGTTACCTTAGAACATCGGATTGACATTGCATTTCTATCGTTTATGTATCATCCTCCGTCATATATATCTATCTTCTTCTGTCATATCTATCTATCTTCTTCTGTCATATCTATCTATCTTCGTCTGTCATATCTGTCTGACTATATTCGTCTGTCATATCTATCTATCTTCGTCTATCATATCTGTCTATTTATCTTCGTCTGCCATATCTATGTCTCTTTGTCTCTCATATATATCTATCCTCGTCTGTCATATCTATCTATCTTCCTCTCTCATGTATATCTATCTATCTTCATCTGCCATATCGATCTCTCTATGGATCTTCGTCGTCTGTCATACCTATCGATCTATCTATCTCAATATGTTCATATATATCAGAATGAGTTGATTAGTAAGGCTCGTATCAATAATTTATTATTATCTCCGTACATGATACTATGAGATGTAGTAGAACCACATACATTAAATCATTACATTTAGATCTGGAATTAGAGAGCCACTGAGCTGGATAGATTAGATCTGGGGTATTCCCTCAAAGAATAAATTTTACTGGGCAACCTTTATTATTCATTTTATAAAGGGATCCCTCGGTAAGCACTGGTAAAGACTTGTTTCTTCAAGGGGAAGATTCAATACATAAATGAAAGTGTGATTATCATTGGGTATATTAATTTTTGTACATATTTTTAAGTTCCTTATAATTATCGAAATATTGCAGCCAAGACGATCTTCGGCCATCTTAAATAGTATTTTGCATCCAGCCTTTTTTAATTTCCATGCTATTTTTCTGCCATTTAGAAACAAAAAGTAAATAAAGATAACAGATGCAATATATGCTGAAGTACATTACCTCCAAATTAGGCTGGTCAAAAGCATCAATAATAAAGATAAAAATCTGGATAATTCCTTAAATACTGATTGCATTTCACCAATTTATGAATGTGCGAGCCTAAGGCAGAAATTTTCTAGAGAAGGGGAATAGTTTTAAAGTCTGCTTGAGCGAAACGGAAAATTTTGTATATAATAATAAGACGGAAGAAAGAGAAGATAGGGAGGGCTTTAACTCATACTGCAGTGAAATAAAAAAAAACCTTGTCATTTTTTATATTTTCATTTTTATCTTCTTCTTTAAACAAAGATGATTTAAATATTTTGGGAAAGTTGTTAGGCTCAAATATTTAATCATATGAAAGAAGAAATTACATATTATTTTAAGATTTGAGAAATTTGCAAGGAGCATATTCGGTCGTTACATTAAGATTTTGCAGAAAATTAAAATAGGAAAAATGTGAATTCTTTTCATTGTTTACACCCTTTCATTGGTTTAAATCTTTTCTAAGGGGCGCCCAGTAAAAAAAGCGGTAAAGTCAGAAATACATTTATTTAGCTATCATGTTTCATGCTCACACTGAACAATCATCGTTGATTTTCGAAATGTTTCCCTGAATGTTCAACACAAAGTTGCAAGCGTCGTAATCAAGAGGCAGGAGCTTTACGGATAGCGTCAAAAGCAACTTCATTCCAAGCTTCAGTTAAGTTCCATTTCAATAAATGAATATCGACGATGTCACGACGACGGTTTTACTAGTGTGTCATCCATAATATTCAGATCCGGGCTTTTCGATGGCCACTGCGATGGACCAATTAGAGCTGGCGTATTGTCTCCATGAATAAATTTGAAGCTTTCTTTACTGGGCAAACTGTATTATTCATTTTATAAAGTGGTCCCTCGGTAAGCACTAGTAAAGACTTGTTTCTTTACGAGGAGGATTCAATACATAAACGGAAGTGTGATTATCATTGGGTATATTAATTTTTATACATATTTTAAAGTTCCTTTGTAATTATCGAAATAGTTCAGCCAAGACGTTCTTTAGCCATTTTAAATAGTATTTTTCATCCAGCCTTCTTTACCCCCCATACCAATTTTTCAGCCATTTAAAGACATATAAAAAGAAAAGTAACAGATACAATATAAGATGACGTATAAGTTTCCAACATTCCTTCATAAGTAGGGTGATCAAAACATCAATAATATGGATAATTCCTTAAATACTTATAACATTTGACCATTTTATGAATCATCGTTGATTATCGAAATGTTTCCTTGAATGTTAAACAGAAAGTTGTAAGCGTCGTAACCGGGGTGGGTGCAGTAGCTTTACGGATAGTGTCAAAAGGAATTCCATTCCAAGCTTCAATTAAGTTCTACTTCATTGAATCAATATCAACGAAGTAACGACGACAGTTTTACTAGTGAGATAGGAGTATACAGTCATCCATAATGTTCAGATCCAGGCTTTTGAGGGCCACTGAGGTGGAAAAATTAGAGCTGGTGTATTGTCTCGATTAATAAATTTGACGCTTTCTTTACTGGGCAACCTGTATTATTCATTTTATAAAGTGATCCCTCGGTAAACACGAGTAAAGACTTGTTTCGTTAAGAGGAGGTTTCAATACCTAAACGGAATTGTGATTTTCATTGTGCATATTAATTTTTGTACATATTTTAAAGTTTCTTTGTAATTATCGGAATAGTGCAGCCAATACGTTTTTTTGGCCATCTTAAATAGTATTTTACATACAGCCTTTTTTATTCTCCATAGCATTTTTCTGCCATTTAAAAACAAAAAGAAAATAAAGGTAACAGATACAGTGTAACCCGATGTAGAAGACTCCCAACATCCCCTCCAAAGTAGAGTGACGAAAACATCAATAACAAGGAAATTAAAATTTGAAAAACGTGAATTCTTTTCATTGTTTACACTCTTCTTTCTTCTTCAGGGTGCCCAGTAAAAAAAGCGGTAAATTCAGAAAGAAATTTATTTAGCTGTCATGATTCAGGCACAAACTGAACAATCATCGTAGATGTTCATAATGTTTTCCTGATTATTCAACACAAAGCATTAAGAATGGCAACAAGGAGGCAGTAGTTTTGTAGATAGTGTCAAGAGGAATTACTTTCCAAGCTTCAGTTAAGTTCCCCTTCAACGAATCAATATCGACAATGTCACAACAGTTTTGCTAGTGAGTTAGGAGTATGCTCCAGATACGCTCATCCATAAAATTCATATCTGGGCTTAACGAGGGCCACTGAGATTGACCAATTAGAGCAGGTGTATTTTCTCGAAGAATAAATTTGACGCTTTTTTTAACGGGAACCCAGTATTTTGCTAATCAATGCTGCTAGTCAAAAATATATTTGTTTTGTTATAATTAGAGTTAAATAACAAGACAAAACCTATAGAGATCAATGTTTATGTTTATATCTATCTCTTTTACCCGTGGTTTTTATGTGTGATGCAGTGTAATGGTTAATGTATCGGAATAAAATATTGGAGAGCCAAATTCATATTCATGTTCGTTACTTATGCACAAATATCCTTGCAAAGGGTATGAATCCAGCTTGTCTTCCCAGCGATGGATGGTATAACACGGCAGACATCATCCTATATGCTTGGTTGGAAACCAGTCTACTCGAAAAAGAACGGTTGTCTACTGCGTGAAATCTTGTACCTAGTGAGTCATGAATGGAAAGACACGATTTCTTAAGCTTGTATCATATATGGCAATTGGCTGACTGACTCAATTAGTCTTTCATTATGAGTCTTTTCTTCCCATTCATGTCTACACCCTTGAAACAAAAAGAATAATTCAGTTATTATTTATTTTTTCCCTATGTTTTCCAATGAAACATGATCCAGTGCACATGTCAGTACTTCGTAAGTCCATTCCACGAAGACGTTCCTTGCAGATTGACCACAGATTCTCGATTGGATTTAAATCAGGAGAGTTTCAGACCCAGTCTATAGTACTTTGATTTGCTCACTGGTACGCTTACTTGGAGTAAGGTACATTGGAAACAATGGCCGGAGGACAACTAATCAACAGTCGAGACAATAGTATCTGGACGTGATAAAAATCTGTTGCAATCACGGATAAGGCAATATTTTTCAAGGCCAAACAAATTTAACAATATACACCGAAATACATTCATATTATTGCACACTACAGCAAATGACATAATCTTAGGAAAAAGTAGAAATGAGTTACACCCTGTCACTCCATTTGGTTTAAAACTGACCGTATGGTGAATGAAAGGAAACTAAAGCGGTTGTTTCAGTTAATTTGTACAAGGGTGTACTTTTTATAAATGAATTTATCATTCTTTCCCGTTTATTTAATCTCTCTTCTATTGGCATTGTTTCACCTTTTTAATATTTCATTTACGTCATCCTCTGTTTCTTCTTTGTTGCTATATTTCATTGATGTTTATTGTGTTTCCTTCGCAATATTTTCTTTATTCTGTCGATAATCAATCGTTCTATAATTTCTTGTTCTTCACTACTATTAAATTTCTTTTCTTTCTTTTCTTTAGTATTTCATTTAATGAGTTGTTTTTACTTTAAGTTTGATTCCTTGTTTACCTTCCTTATGTTTGTTACAGTTTTTTTATATATGTAATAGTGAGCTAGCCTAAATGAGTTGACTCATTTTATAGTTCACCAATAGAAGGATTAACCAATCAGAAAGCTCAAAATATTCAATGCGACGTGTATAAAGGCAGCCATTTTTTTCTCCCAAATTGTCTGCACTGCCAACCTGATATCGAAGACTTAAAGAATTACTTAAAAACCGCTACTTTCTCTGAATTTTCACTGCCGACC